TCTTCGCGTACCCCAGGTTGAATACCACTGCTCTAGAGTGATTTAATTTTAAATATTACTCGCCGCCGTGAGAACCTGAACTCTCCCCAAGATTCCGTGGAGTTTAATTTGTACACCCCCATACGCCATCGTGTTTCTCTTTCCGTCCACACACAGAGGTAGTCAAGAACTGAAGATTTAGACTCGGCTAAGGTTGTGGCTCTCAGAGGGCTGTTACGCCACGGATTATTATTAAGGTTGATGAGGCGCATAATTACCTCCGATTGGCCGTGCACGAAATTAATAACAACTTCCTACGCACGGACACGCACGAACCAGTGAACGGGTTGCAGGCAGAGAACTCCGTTAATTCTTCTCAGCACGAGCGGCGTATGATTACGTCATATTTGGACCGACGATGCCATCAACAACAATAATAACTCCATGGAGGTGAGCTATTCTTAAGAAATTAAATGTCGCTCAATTGGTCAAGAAATTCCACAGTTTTTTTTTGTGAAATTGACGGTCTATTGCCGTGTCCACAAGAGCATATCCAAAATTGGACAAATTCAGTTCATATCCTCACACCTAACTTCTTTAAGCTACATTTTTTACCTGTATACCCCTTCAACATCAAAGTTGCACAGGTAATTATCATTAGAATCTGAAATTTTTATTCGAATGTGGTGAATGTCTGACGAAACAACGAAAATGTTTCCACAGAAATGTCTGTATTGCAATTAACTTTACAGTACGCTTTTTGGCCTGGAATAAATAAGCATCTAAGCAAATGAAGTGTTCAGAATCTCACAAAACAAGACAGGAAGTGTGTCTGTAGTTCCCGTGACGTCGTGAGGCAAGACCTTCATATCGTACGAGTATTTTCTCCTTGCAAGGTTGCAGATGAGACACAAATTCTTTTCGCAGTTGCAGATCCATCTGCCTCATTGTTGCAACTGCTGACTGAATATTCGAAGTATTAATAACAATGAAATCACGCTTCTGAACGCAGTGAAATTTTCAATGGCAAACGGCGAACTGCTCGCGGCTGCCATTTCTGTGAGGTAACGTGTGTGCGCGCTAATGAAGCTTCAGTGGCCATTAGAGAGAGATTCAAGGTGATTATGGCCGCTGTGAAGTCAGTGAAGCCGCGTGAAAACAAATAGCTGTTCGTCCCCTGATTCATTTACGGACATCAGTTGGAAGCAGCTCATTCATTTATTTAATGACACTGTCAGTGACTCTGTAACTTGAGACTACAAAGCGTCTAATGACAGATGATTAATTTAATGGTGAATTGGAAGGGATATTGAAGAAAGCGGTCGTAGCCGAATTTAATCACGAGAAAATTCAGTCAGGATGGCCGGTCTCCGAGACTAGACTCAAGACCGGGATATCTTGAGTAAAAGTCTGTACAACTGATCACTTTAACCGAATTTCGGTACAGCGCAATGCAGCGTCGATAGCAGAGCAAAATCCTTCCAACAATTACTCTCTTCCCATTCTTATGGAACAGCAACACTTGGTTATGCAAGTTGTCTACTCCTGTAGGAAAAAAGTTGTCAGTGGAACCACGGTTCCGGAGAATTTGACGTAAATACGTCTATACGGAAAGGATGCTTATTTAACTTGAATTAGTTACGCTTAAGATGGGTCTGTGGTAGCTGAATGTAATGTAAAGTAATGTAATGAAATGTAATGTAAGGTAAGGTAATGTAATGTTTTATAGGTAACAACAATGCCGAGTAAACAGATGACGTTTCCTAGGTAACAACAATGCCGAGTAATGTAATGTAACGTTTCCTAGGTAACAATAATGCCGAATAAACAATTGACGTTTCCTGGGTAACCAGGTTATACTTTTTGGTTTCCCTTTCCCTTTTTTGCCGAATGACCCTTCAATATAGACGTATTTACGTCAAAAATAAATAAAAAAAAAGTGACAGACGGACATGGACCAGCCCAGAATGTGTTCTCTCACTTACATAAGCCAACCGGTAAAACTGCCCTTGCCTCACACCACATCACGCAGAGCTCGGCCTAAGATGGAGGTGAGTGGTCAGCTTACTGCTCAGGCCGCTTTACCCCACGCAAAAGACCTTCTCATAGGTGTCATTGTACCGGAGGGTGGGTAGGTCGTGAATCCGTCTCTGAGTGTTGTAGCGCAAAAGAAAAATTCATACAGCTGCCAGGAATCGAGCGGTGGCCGTCTACCTCGTGGTCGCCCTGCAAGGACATGCGAATCCAAATGCCTGTAACAATGCTGCTGTCTTCCCTAAACAGCGAGCTGGTTCAGCTGGTAGTTATAAGTGAATCAGTTCACGGCCTACTAGATATGACCGGTCGTCTGATAATAAAGTCATCGTCCGTGGAACTTCCTTTGTGGGGGCAGCTGTCATGTGAGGGTGCCGCGACGCCGATGGGCTCCAGAGAACAAATTAAATGTAAATGTAAATAGAATTAACGAGAGGTCGGGCGGCTGCTCCTTGTCTCAGTGAACCAAGAGATTCACTGTACGGAACGAACCCTTTCTTTATTGTGATTTACTGTGTTCACAGCATCTGCTGCTCGGATCGGTGACACGGGGGTTGGGCGAGGAGCATCATTAACCCTCCTGGCGGCACTTCCCCTCACACGTAATTCAACCATGTGCCTCACTGACTCTAAAACTGCATGGGCAGGTCTGTGTTAGAAATAACAGCGTCAATTAGAAGGTAGAAGTGACAATATTTTAATATAATTTCAACAGTCTTTTTGGATGAAAACGACTGTCTTCTGTGATATTACGCCTTGTAAGCTGGTACCGCCTCCATCATTAGAGCATCTTTTTCCTCTGATCTGTTGCGCCTCATCTTGATTCTGAAACGATCAATTCTTTCAGACATCTGGAGAGAGAACTTAAGCTGGGAAAAGATCCTACCATTTGCACAGATACTTCTTATATTTATCGATCTGACAAATAAAGCCTGCGCAGGCTTAAAACGCCAATGAATACGTCTTTCAAATGTGAAATCGATGTTATGTAATAAACACAGAGCCCATTCGAGTCCTAAATCGTCAACTTCAACTACTTCGCCACCCAGTCACATCAGACCGAACAGCTAACCTCAAATGATAACACGACTTATTTTTATTCAGGTCTCTAGGATCTGTTCGAATTTTGACGGGCGTCCACACTATCTTGAGAGTTTTTGTCGTTTAAATTTTGTCTTACTTAGGATTCCCAAACGACTACCGCGGTGCGGTGGTTAATAATCGTATTCGTATTCGGGGCCTCGGTTTCGAGACTCAGACGAGGAAGTGGACTTCCTTGTTGAGGTTCGTCTGGGATACGAGAACATCAGTCCCTCAAGGCAAACAGTGAGAGAGTGAGAGGAGTTTACGATAGTCCTCCCCTTGTAATATTGACAATGACTATGGAGTCTCCTTCTTTGAAGCAAGACCCTTGACTCGTAAACCACACTACTTGCAATATTGGCAATGATGACTATGGAGTCTCCTTTTTCGACGCAAGACCCTTGACTCGTAAACCACACTCACTGAGGTCAGGTGACTGTGTCATGTCTGCTTCCTCTCCTTATCTCTCCAGGTTACATTAGGACTTATGTAAGCAGATTCTCAAATCACTGGACTGTAAATAATCTCTACAATTGACAGCGCCGTGTAACATCGTATGGACCAAACATGAAAGCGTCGTTATTAGAACAATTCTAACAATCTGTTGTGCGTGTTGCATACGAGACAGGCAGTATGGACAATAAAAGTCACCGGAGGTACGAACATTGAAACACGCCCCTTGTGGACCGAGACAGCAGACGGGAGCGGTACGTCCATTTCCCACGCCTCGCAACCTCCCACACAGGGATCCTATTTTTTTATGAATCTCAAAACCCTGTCGGTGGGTTGTCACGGTGACAGAACCGTAGATGCTATTGTTGAGATTGACCCCGTGACTCCCTAAGAGGTCGGAAAGCGGATACGAAAGTCACGTGACGTATCGATGTCCACGAATCCCGCTAGGTGTTGCGTTATATGATCAAAAATGCACAGCAGATTTCACAACGACAGTTGGCCTGGGAATGAAATTTGTAAGATTTCAGGTTCCCACGGTGGTATGAAGACGACTGTCTTCTGGGATGCTGCGCGGTGTAGTCTGGTCGAAATTGACCGACGATTCATTGATGCTTACTGCTTCCATCATCATCATCATCATCATGGAAGCAGCAAGCACCTCTGAAAGGTCGGCAAATTTCGACCAGACAACACCGCGCAGCATCCAGAAGGCAGTCGTCTTCATTGCAACCTTTATATTCGTTAAATATTCTTCATGTGGAAACATGTTTGCAATTAACACGTCACAATAAAATTTAAAAGCAAGCCTGTTTTATGTGATGAAATTTGGTTATTTTTTATATCTTTGATTGTTATAAAAATCTTGATTAAAATTGATTCTGTGTTTTATATAGGAGAAGCGTTATTTTTAACCTTTGGGGACCATAATTAGATTCGTCCAGCCTAATGCAGTGTGGACCTCCCAAATATTAATCGAAATAAATCAAGTAGTTTCGAAGACAAACCATGTGGATAAATACGAACTCCCTAACCGTATTCGTTTTGCGCGAAAAAAACGGGCAAAACGTAGCAGAAAAGCCAAGACTGCGTAAACGTGATGAAATGAGGCTAGGATTTATGACGTCACGCAGAGCCTTGCAACAGATGTGACGTCATAAAGTCTTTCTGGAAACCAGATATAACAGAGGTGGCATCACGCACCAACAGCCAGTTTCATAACCAAACCATCACCCGCGGTTTAAGATCACGCAGTGAAAACTAACAAATACGCCTAATATAAAGATGGCTGTCTTTCTAGGTTGTAGCGCCCACAAAGACAGCCATCTTCTTACACTCACTGCCGTGAGAACTTCAAATCCAACAGGCGTACTACAGATCGTATGCACTATACGTAGTAACAACCGCGCATTCAACGTCATTAATCAACATAAATGCCACGTCAGATGCACAAAATTAAAGACTTTTAGTGAAATTAAATCAATGTCATAAAGGTCTGCACAAACCTGATCGGTGAGACGAAACTCCATAACAATACAGACATATAGTGTCCTTAACAAAATGTATTAATTTTAAATTAAATCGTGTCGAAAACTATCTTTCCGCGTAGGAGTAGATGTTTTTGGAGTTGAGGGAGGGGGGTATCCGAAGCTTTAACTCTCTAAAAACATAAATATTACGCAATGACATAATTAATCAACCAAAAAACCAGCAGCAGTTAATGAAACAAGGGCCTGGTAAAAACATTGCTGCCATACGTGCTTGGAGAACATCTGGCTTTCATCTAGTGTATCTAATTAAACGGAACGTAGGTTGGTCTGACATGGGCGTGAAGAGTTGGTTCGCTCACCCAATAAATAATAAAGGCCGCTTCAGCAGTCAGATAAATGGAATTACCGTTCAGCAGCTAGTTGCTAAGTAGAACGCTCACAACCTAATTTTTGTCACTCGGTTTTCGAGGCTGGAATTCAAGGATAACTCCGGCTTTAGGATGTGAGGCATGTCGAGGTCGATTCGCCCCACTACACATCCATCCTGAAGATGAAAACTGCAATGTTTGCCGAAACGTTACTTAATACTCAATATTCGATGCGGTTCACAGCCGAAAGCTCTAGTTACTCACTCCCTACCTAATTTCTCAGAAAATGATTTAACTTCTAAGTCGAAATTTCATTTAAACCTTCGGTAGACCAAAAGATGTTACAGTTTTAAAGCGCATTCGAATAAAATAGAAAAGCGTAAGATATTATTTGGGTGCGAGGTTGTGGACTGGATTCATCTGGATCAGTACAGGGTTCAATGCCGGGCTCTTGCACTAATTGTTACCACCATCCATGCTAAATACTCCGCCTAACAAATGCTCATCAGTTCAATAACCACAATTGCGATAAACGACAAACGAAAAACAGGAAATATGCGGCTCTCCGCTGGACAGTCACCACCATTTGATTATTTTATAACGCTGTATCACTGCCAAGATTATGTAGCGTACATCATGGAACTGTGTGTCGTGGTAACTGAATCGATAGTAATATATGGCAGAAAGCGATTGCAGAGTGTTTAAGACATCGCACTACTCAGAACTTCAGCCTTGAAGATGGAGGTAGTATGTTACTCCGAATCGTTGGTACCTACCTACACGCCTATACGGCGTCAGAGCCCAGTAGACCAACATCGACGCTCAGAACTTGGTTTCAAGAACAGAAAATTACCCTGGGTGAAAGTGTCTCGCAGAGACATCGGTTGCCGCTAAACGATTAATCGGATCTGGTGGGTCCGTTGGTCATTCGCTCTGCCATGCGAATGTGGGACGCGGTCGAGTGCGCCTTCGCTAGAGTGGAAACTGAACTCACCGACAAAGTTCCACGTGCCAAGCAATTAGGAGGGCGTAGTTCGGTTTCTTTTGACTTCGTTGAAGCATTTTGCTTCCACCGTGATGGGGGTTGGAAAATGCATCGCATATTCACGTAACCAGAGGTCCTCAGCTTTGAGATTGAGCGTAGTTGCAGAGCTTCACCATTAGAAAGTTATCATCTACATTACAAAAAAAGGCTTGGGACTGGATGGACGTTTGACACTTCCCACTACACAAGAAAAATGTTTCATATATATCAGCATCTTACACTGGTTGAGTACTTTATTTCGAATGCCACTCCTTCGTAGGACGAGCAGTTTTTATAGTATTTGAAAAGGAACAGCAGTGATCTCAAATTCGATCAATATGCTTTAATTTAATATGTATCAGCTAGGAAAGGTCACTGGATGTAGCTTGGACGAAAAATGAATACTTGGGAAGCTTTCATAAAACGGCCACTAGCAATATCGAAAAGATGGAAGGATAACATTAAGATGGATGTTAGGTAAACGGATTGTAAATAAATACATCTGGTTCTGGATCTATCCAATTAGCAGCGTTAAACTTTTGGTTTCTTCTACAGATACTTTTTAGAGAGATAAGATAATAATGAAATGAAGAAAAGTGCCTGACGAAGAGCTTCTCGTATTTTGCTGCTCTCCTGACATTGCTACGGTGAATAAATAAAGAGGTTCGAGTCCGGAGATCATGCGATGTGCGGGTGGAAACAAAAACATACAAAATCCTGACCAGAAGAGACCACTTAGTAAGATGCAAATTGTTAAATGGATTGAGCAGACCAAAAAACGGGGTTCAATCGTCTACTTCTGTGAACAAGGCGACGAGAATTCTTTATAAATCTGGACTCCATACCACATACCGGCTTGCTTACAGCGGAAACGAATCAATGGACACTTCGCTGTCCATTAGTTCGCGTGGCGACAGACCGTCTGCGAGCATTGGAGAGACTCAATTGGCTTACGCACGCTAGACTGCCGCCAGACTTGGTGACGGCCTATTCCAGCCTGTGTCAACAAATTCGCAAATCGCTTTTCGCACCGATTGCCTGCCGCATAATCACTATTGACGGACCAAGCTGTTGAATACAGTGCCATTAACTGAGACCGGCTGGACATTTCCACCGTTTTACAAGAACAGAAGATGTGTTCTACCGGCGGCGAGTTTGAAGAAAACTGTCTTCTGGGGTGTTGCGTCGTGCAGTCTTTTATAAAGAACTACAGACGTCTCAGAGCCGTTTGCTGCCCCAAACGTCTGACACACAACACAGCGCAATATTCCAGAAGACATCCATTTTCTTATTCTTCCAAATTTCGTAAGTTATAGTGGAGAACACAACTGTTCCGCCACTGACGAGGAATTACGAAGGCTGTGGAAGAGGGGAGGCAACCATGCGGGAGATTGCGTCATCGGACCTCGGACCAGAATTCCTGCCGGCAAAGCATTCCAGCCACATTCCTGTCCATGCTCACCCCTTTATACTTCTCGATGGAACAGGGGTGGATGCTGCTTCCCTTCACAGTCACAGAGCATGATCACGAGGACTGAGCTGTCTGTACGGCATCAGTGGCGTACAGATGTTTGTTAGCACGTTTTTCTTAATTACCCACATAAAAGAAGTTCCTACTCACAAAACTAAATACGGAAAAACACAATTAACACGAAAGTCGGATCTGAGATTCTTACGACGGCAAGTCAGAAGATGGCTGTCTTATGGGTTGTAGCTCCGTGTAGTCTGGTATAAGTAAGTAAGTAAGTAAGTAACAGAATTATTTGGAACTGAACAGACCTGTGTGAAAATATGCCCTTGATAAAAAATCGAAAAGAATAATGGAAGAAGTGGTCGTAGCCTAATTTAAAACAATCCCGGCACTTGCCTACAGGCACTGAGGAAAATCGCTGAGTACGGTACCCGGTCTTTGGGTCGAAATTTGATCCCGGGACGTTCTGAAAACGAATCAGGGGTGCCAATTATCTGCTGAAACATTCAATGAGAAGTTTAAAACTTACAAATATAATCCTAAAGAACCCTATTACGCTTTACCTCGCCGACAGATGCTTCAATGTTTGTATGCAATAGGATACTAAATGCGCCAAGTCATCCTATTCACTGAACGATAACGAGTACATAATACTGTTCACTCAAATGGATTATCGTCCATTACACTGTAAATCGTCACTTAGACACACCAGCCAAGCACGATGATACGATAAGTTGCATAACAACAGGGCGTTATTGTTGCTAACGCTTACATATTCGCAGTAATTTCTTACAATAGATTATAACGTGAGAGATTTTAAAGATGATTTAACTCACCCCACTGCCTACATTTTCGTCGTATGTCCGTCACGCAAAGTTTTGTTAAAATCCAGAATCCGGTTCCGAAATCTTACCTGAAACAAATCAGAAAAGCTACAGTCACATAACAGCTTCTTATTTGGTAAGTTTTGAGGTTATCATGGCGGCGAGTATGAAGGCGACTTATGTTCTGGAATGTTGCGCCGAGTGGGTTGGTAGTAAGTAGTCTGGTAGGCTTTCGGAGGTGATTGCTGAAGCCATCATCGGGGCGCCCTGATGATCGCCTCTGGTTACCACAATAGCGACAACATTTATGATCATTATTATGCCATGAATATGCACCTACAAGTGGTTAATTCGCAATCTTTGGAATCACCTCCGAGCTTAAAATGTTGGAGAACAGAATATTCTAATCGAGAATGTTACTGGTTTTCTTCGTAGACCCAGGCGAATGGCTTGATAATATCTTCAAAGAATTTACAACCGCCTCCTTCCAAATTCTCAGGTGTTCACCGTTCATTATCATCTTTCATAGCATAGCACTGGGACAGTGTCTTTAAATAGCACAACATATCAATAAACAGAAACAACTATCATCAGCCGATCAGTTCGTGTCCAAACACGACGCATCTGTTCGCCTCAGTTGTTCAGATTTTCTGAACTTCCGAAGTTTTCTGTCTCCTTTCGGGCTTCATCTTATGTTTCTGTTTTTCTTTTAACGTTTCTTTTTTACTTTCAATCTGTCTTCCTCCATCCCCGTTCTTTTTAAATAGCTCTTTTTATAAACGTCCTGTTCTATGTTTTCCTTCGTCTCTTCTATTACCCTTCTGTCATAAACCATCCATCTTCCGTCCTCTTCCAGCCACCCCCCACTTGTTGTCTTTATCTCGGAATGTCTCGTCACAACCTTTACACAAGTTTCTTAAACTACAGAAACACATTTACCATTGTCTCAACTTTGTTTTACAGCAGAAAATTCCACACACAGAAGGAGAAGACAGTCACAAACGTCGTCTTTTGAAAAGTATGTGGGAAACATGAAGATTATATGAAGACAAGTCTTCCGGGACGTTGCACTGTGTAATCTCCAGGACGTTCATCGACGTTTCAGAGGCGTCCATCAAAAAGCAACAATAAAATGCTTAGTTTTGTTGATGAAGTTGATAAAATAACTCATTTACAACAAGACTCACCGAGTGGTGGGGGGGATGAGAACTGCGCAGGACCAAAGGGATGTGTTTAACCAGCGAGCAGCAAAATTAACTAGCTTGATAGCAATGATGCAAAGGGGGAATTTGGCAACACCGGACGCCCATTTACTACAAAACCAATTCTACTCTTGTAGTCCATGCAGACATCCTTATTGCAAATCCCCTCTGCTCTCGCTGCATCAGTCAGTGGGATGCTGAATGGCGTTCAGTGGCGTGAAGATTAATACTACAAAGCGCACATGATGGACTCCACAGGCATCCCTCGCCAAACCGGCGGTTACGTTCTTGATAAAACATCATTTCTGTGGCGAATTTCAATTTTGAAAACTGTACCCAAATTCAGATCCAAGCTGGTTTCATAAATGAAACCCTGGCATTCGTTTGCAACATGTGAAGACAATCAGGACAAACGTCAGACAGAACAGAAGGTCCATGGAAACTTAAGCACAAGAGAGTGAGCGAGAGTATTTAAACTGTGCTCGGACCATAACATTGCATAAGAGACATTAAATGATAGCTTAGAACATATTTATTGCTGTACACTGGCAGGCCTATATCAGTTCTAAGAGTTTAAAGGTCAAATCAACACAGATCACACACCCCTGCCCCTTCAGAATTGATTTTTTATGAGATTGTAGTCCCAATGGAGACTTAACTACTCTGCCAAATTTTACTTCCTTATGGCCAGTAGATTCTTGACAGCAGACAAAGAAGAGGCCTTCATGTCTGCACGCCACTGGCAAGTAACGATGACAAGCATTCGGCCAATGGAACAGTCAAGATACCGGACAAAGCAATCTCAAGACGAGCGCGTGCCGGTCAGACTGAGAATTGATTTTTCACACTGTCTCGTAATTGTCCGTCCATCATCGTTCAGTACAGTCGGTTCATACAGAACAACGCATTCATTTCAATGTTCCCGAATATGGCAACTGGGGTTCATTGCACGCTTTTCGTTCGTTACGCACTACGTCGAATTGCTTGACTCCCCCCCATCCCCGCGTGCTCTTCAAGAAGACGCTTGGAAACAGAGCGAATACAAGATTTGGAGTCGAAAAAAAGGAACACGGGCAATGAGCAGCTAAGACTATATTTTTAGTGTTTCGGTTTGCTTTGTTTGTTTCTTAGTTTATTTAATAACACTTACTCAACTGCATAGGCTGTGTAGTGTCAAATCATAAGCTGCTTGTTAATTACGGATTTGAAAGTATGTGGAAGCATGCGATCATGGCGCCTCCTGCCTTCTGCCAGTTGACACAGAAGAACTGAGGAAAACACGGAAAGATCAGGACAGCCGGCCATAGAACGGAGAATCGAGTTCAGAATCTCCCGAACATGAAGGCGCCGTGTTAATTATTCAAGCCATCTGTAGGCCTTCAGTAAATAAGAATATAAACACAAATGACTGCAAAGATAAAGTTTTGTATGTTAAATAGTATACATAATTTATAAATCAATTTCAACAATTTTAATTACCTATATATTAATTATAGCTAGTTAAGATTCGATTTATTTCAATGATAGCATATATAGTTATTTCCTATTACTAACCATTTGAACCGCTAAGTTCGTGTTAATAATGCTTCAAAATAACCGTTCCAAGAAAATAACATGTCCCCATTACAAAGATCAATTTATTAATGAGGTTAAGGGAAATAATTCTTTAAACATCAAACTATAAAGGAGTAAGAGGAGTGCAGAAATAAATCTGCACAAAATTTTTACATCGATATTAGACTGAGGTGAAATGCCAGGTCCAATCCCTGGCTGCATCTGCATACAGTACTCATTTAATTAAATTTCCGTTAAACGAGAGTCTAAAGACTTATTCAAGTTAGACGATGAAATTGCTTTGTCACGCTACGTCAGGTTATAGAGCATGCTGACATGGCAACATTTTGTGTTCATTTCATTTGTTTTGGGGCTGGAGAACAGAAACAGACATCGATTGTGACGCCGCGTACTTTGACAAGTGGACATCAGCATTTCGAAGAAATGTATCGCCTCCATCCTGAAAAAGGAGACGACACGTTCCTCCGAAACCTCCGTGTCCACCTACAAGACTGCATGGCGCCATTACCTATAAGACCACAATCGACATATTCACTGCCGTGAAAGCCAGAGATCTCGCAAAGTATCATACCGCCGTGCTCGTTAGGCAATTTCTCCAACACATGTGCGAAGCGGGTGATCGATAAGGGAGTTCTAGTGGCTTTCTGCTGTATCTGTTGTTCTACATAATCGTAGGCCTATTATCAGACCAAGAAGAGTTAAATGGCTTCATAAGAACCATTAAAATTTGCGATTATTAAAGCTGTTAAAACATCGAAGAATAAAGAATATATCAAAAGAAGCACCAGTTCACCGCGTTAATGCAAATTTTCACTGTAAAAATAAGATTTGTAACTATACCACACTATAAAACAATGTAAATTCGTCAGAAAACCACACTCAACATTACGAAGAAACACATTTACATAGGAGTGCTATTTGGAGCTTTTGCCTTACAATTACTCACTCCCTCCCTCCTTAATGTAGAACCGAGTAAATTGCAGTAGCGTATTTATAGTCATCTTCAGATTTACCGCCGTGAAAACCTCAAATCCTACTTAATCCATTACTCATCATTCTGTTATGTACCGACGGAAAAATTGCTTAATGTTTTCACACAAGGATACCCAAATACAGGATTTAAGATAGAAGTCCCACCATCGAACTAGGCTGCGGAATACCGGCAATCTCGTATGTTGAAATATATTTACTCATTCACAAGCCACGAAAGAAAAGGCAGACGAAGGCCACAGACCGCGGGAAGACACTTTTAAAGCTGGTACAGTTGGGTCTGTTATGTTGCTAGTTCGTGAAGACAAGAAGAAATATTGTTCCAATGAAACAATTTATCCAATATCTGGAGCCTCAGTAAAAATTTCCAGGAATATGTCTTGAAACACTAGATATGAGATCCGGAAGTGTCAACACGAGAAAGCGACGTCAGCAAAAAAGCATCGCTCATCATTCTCTTCCACATAAAAGGTAGTGACGTGGTTATAGTAAGAGAAGGGGAAAATCAATAGACAGTATAATACGAGAGTTGACAAAGAATGCAAAGATAATAAGAAACAAAAAACATGTGTGACAGAAACTGGATGAAGACCCCTGGAGAAGGTGCTGGTTGCATAAACCACGGGAGCTTACTCTGCAACACCAACCTGAAGACGCATGAAAGGCCAAATGACCTCTGCCGTTGATACAGCGCCATCGAAAAATCTATGCACGAAATAAATAATAAACTCGTAATACGTAGGGAAATTATCGAGACCTAAAGAATGGCATGACGATAAAATTTTCTCACGATAAAAATTCTCAAGACAACTTCCGAAAAAATAAACCACTTAATAACCGGCTACAGGCTACGAGAGACCAGACCCATAAACTTTTTTCTCCTGCCCCTCGATGATGCAAGGAGCAAATCTCGTGGTCCATAAAATTAACGGTACTCCAGCACCCTCCACCTATAATCAACGTGCCTCAACTGCTTCGCCTTGGGCGCTGGGAAGCTGTTTATCCCTGTAAGACTGGCTTCATGAAACACACAGACTTTTCTTGGACTCTAGGTAAGTAGTCCACAGTGCAATCCACGGTACGTGTACAGTTGATAAGTTGTGGTAACAGAGTGAATGTTTTGATTTGATCAGAAGACTCAATTATTCATTTTAACCTGTTATGAGAGATTTAGATGGCGACATGTTACAAGCACATCTGTTGACAGCGTTAATTACTTGATTGTCCTTCGATTACTTCACCAAAGGTCGCTTCGTATTTGGTGGATTCTCAGCTGGCTAACCCAACGGAGGTTTTTGAGGACCTCCTTAATTTGTCTAGGCAAATACTGAGAAAGGATTTTAAAAATGGCCACCAGCAGAAATTTGGGTAAAACATAATCAGCTTATTTTCTTTCGTTTTAAAAGTTTCCTATGAGTGAATGTTTAGGTACCAGTAGTTTACGTTCCACCTCCAAAAGGTAAAACTTTTGTAAGACTTGAGGTTCTCACAGCGATGAGTATGAAGATTTCAGTTTTCTGGGTTGTTGCGCCGTGTAGTCTGGTCGATGTTAACCAACGTTTCGGAGGTCATACTGCCTCCGTCATCGGTAAAACTTTTGTTTTACAACACAAAACAACACAAACACAATACAAAAAAAGTTATGTATGTTAATTGAAACTTACATTTCTCCTCACGATGACCATGACTGCAAGAAATTTAAACAGTCGAAGCCTTACCTGCAACAAAAGAGAAATACAAAATTAATTTCTTATTTACTGTGTATCGCATAGAAGTATGAGGATATGAAACAACAAAAGGAAACGAAGAGAATGGGGGAGAGATGGCGGGATTAGGATTTCGCAGAAGATGGCTATGTAAGACGAGTTGCAGGGTTTCCCAGTGAAAACTACGTACTGGTACTCGTACATTTATGATTCTGCACACTACCTTCAGCTTTGCGCACACAGTTGCAGCGTCTGACACGAGAGCACAACTCATATTCAACTTCTGCGTACACAGGATCACGTGTTTCCTATCAGCAATGAACTTCTACACAATTCTGTATCAATTCCCAGTACCGAAGTTCAAGAATTGTGGACATAGGGCTAAGGAAAGAATTCAGTTACGTAGCAACATGTGATTTGTGATGCGGAGATACAAATGTTTCTACAATGTTTGCACAACGTAAACTTCTTGCCTTGACATGATTCGCTAAAAGTCCCTAAAACGCAGATAGCTCACGATATGACAGTAACCTTTGCACCCTGACCGACCGCCAGAGCAATGTCACTTCCGACCACGTGGGAGAGAGGGTAACGTAGAACTAACAGTTCCATTGTCTTGTCCAGCACAATGCAGGCGTGACGTCACGATCGCTGTTGATCTGATAGGACCAGAACACGAGTAGCTCGGGACGTGATCTTCTCTTGTCTTAAGAGGCTGACAGTTCAGTGCACGGCAGGACTGATGCAAAATGAAGAGGTGGCACGGGGGAACAGAGGTGGAAGAGAATAAGCAACGGCGAAAGAGAGGCAAAGAAGATAAAGAATTATTTTGTTTTCGTTTGTTTTTATTGTAGTCTAGATGTTTATTAGTGTTTGCCTTTCAAGGGCTCTTTGCTTTTGACAAACACTCTAATAAAGAAGATGAATTAGTATTATTATTATTATTATTAACGTCCCATACCGGCTCGAGTATTAAAATACATCCCCCATAAAACGAATTGTTTTTCTGCATTTTCTTTTTATTTTGAATGCAACTTAATCTGAGGACTGTGGTTTGTATTCTGGAACGGCCTAACTGGGCCATTAGTGTACTGTGTAATGTTACAAGGGAGATAACGAGAGGCAGGAAGTTACTGCGTTGACTAGAGGCCATTGTTCGATCATCTCCGATACAAACTGCTGGCAGCGTAACTAAGGGCGACGATCTCCAAGCTGCGAGTGATATATAAACGTTCCGGGGATTCCGCTTGTATTGACGATCTGCATTAAATTAACCACGAGCTTACTTCCGCTTCCGATGAGAGGCAAACAAACCTCTTGCCTGTCGCTTCTTATACCCGCCATATAACTAATTAACAAACTAACTCACTCTTTGGAGCATACTCCATCTTGAAAAGCGGCACCTTAAAAATATAAAGTGGTGGAGGCAAAGCTCCACCAGCTCTAGAGTTGGGCACAAAATTGAAGCGAGAGGTGGGTGGATCACTTTCAGAAGAAAGAGTCCCTGATATCCACTGAATATGGCGTTTGGTGGGGCCCACAGCCGGTCTGGACGTAGTAGCCCTCCCGGGAACTGAACCCCAGACGTCTGTACAGCAGCGAGTCAATATACTGACTGAATTACCAAGATGTAGGCCTATGTGTTTGTTTGTTTGTAACATAAAACGAAAGCAAAATAAAATTTGAAGACTAGACAGTGTTAAAGGACAGTATTAATTTTTAAACAGCAATAAAGAACAGGTTTGAGTTACAAGTGTTCTTAAGCAACATGCTCCATAGTCTCAAAGTTTGCTCACGTAATTCGAATTATTCTCAATTACACCACATTCCTTTACTTTAAGAACAAATATAATGTCGTACAGTTTAACATTAACAAAAACACACACACACATGTGCGTATTATGATGTTTATCCACATCGTCACATGACGACAATGGGTTTCCAAGCGACAAAACATGGCATTACTTCCAAAAGAACAAATGAATCAAGACGACACTCATTTCAATGATTACTTATACGGACCAATGAAACCTGTTTTACTTTCTTCCTCCTGGTTAAAATGAAACGACTGATTCCTTCTACTGTGTCTATTCACTAA